ATGGTGTTGGAAAAACTAGATATTCACATATAGAACAATGAAGTTGGACCTTTGCTTCACGCTGTATACAAAAATCAACTAAAATGGATTTAAGACTTAAATGTAACACCAGAAACTATTAAACTACTAGAAGAAAGTATAGGGGAAATGTCATACAACATTGGTTTAGAAAATAATGTTTGGATGTGATGGTAAAAGTATAGGCAAGAAAAGCAAAAATAGACAAATGGGATTACATCAAGCTAAAATGCTTCTGTACAGCAAAGCAAAAAATTAACAGTGTGCAGATATTGCGGCAGTGTGTACAGCTAGTGTTACAGCTCTTGTTACAGCTCTTATTCATTTGACTGGGGAAAGAACCCAGCAGCACATGAAGAGTCAGAAAACAGCCTTTATTCTTCTACACCAGGCTCAGCACACCTAGTGTTACAGTTCTCTTCCTGTCTTCCCATGTTCTCCCCCCTCTTGCCCTTCTGCCCCTGCTTTTATACCCTTGGTAGGACTCAAGAAGCATCAAATCAACTGCAAGCTTTAACATCCAATCAGCAACAGGCTTTGACATCCAATCAACAACAAGCCTTATCATCCAATCAAAAACAATGGGATTCAAAAATTACCCAATCAGGATCACGCAAGCAGTGTGGCCAGAAACAGGCCGCGGCACGTGGGCCTGGGGCATTCCGGCACGCGGGGTTCCGGGGGCACGCGGGCGTCCAGGGCGGCTGTGAGCCGCGGGGCCTGGCCCCAGCAGCGTGCCTTTAACAGGCTACGCACAGCACTGGCCCCCGGAGATGCGGAACTATGGGGAGGCAGCAATCGGCCACATCCCGGCGTCGACATTTTCCGCATCACAGAGACAACATACAGATAGGGAAAAAGTATTTGCAAGCCATATATTTGATAAAGGGTTAATATCCAAAATATATAAGGAACTCACAATAGCAAGAAAACTTTCTTTAAAAAATTAAAAAATAGATAAGAGACCTGAATAGACATCTCCCAAAAGAAGACATATAAATGACCAACAGATGTAAGAGAAAATACACAATATTGTTAATCATTAGGAAAATGCAAATTAAACCCACATAAGTTATCATGTCACACCTGCCAGAATGGCTATCAGTAATAATGCAAAAGATAAAAAGTGTTCACAAGGATATGGTGAAAAGGAAACTGTTTTACATTGTAAGTGGCGTAAATTAGCACAGCCATTATGGAAAACTGTATGGAGTTGCCTCAAAAAGCTAAAATTAGAACTACCATATGATCCAGCAATCCCAGTTCTGGGTATTTACCCAAAATATTTCAAGTCAGTCTATTGAAGAGATGTCTGCATTCCCATGTTCATTCTAGCACTATTCACAATAGTCAAGTTATTGAATTAACCTGTGTTCATCAATAGATGAATGGATAAAGAAAGTGTGGATTATATACATAATGAATATATTCATCCTTAAAAAGTAAAGAAATTCTGTTATTTGTGACAATGTAGATGAACCTGGAGAGCATTATGCTAAGTCTAATAAGCCAGGCACTGAAATACAAATATTGTGTGTTTTCACTCATTTGTAGAATCTAAAATATTTCAACTCATGGGAGCAGAGAGTAGAATGGTGGTTACAAGGGCTGAAGTTTGTGGAGAATGAAGAGATGAGGTCAAGGGGTACAAAATCTCAGTTAAACAGGAGGAATATTTTTTTGAGATCTAATGCACAGAATGCTTAATATAGTTAATAATAGAGTATGTTTCAAAATTGCTAAGAGAGTAAATTTCATGTTCTCACTCACCACAAAAAATGTTAAGTATTTGAGGTGATAGATATACTAACTTACTAGCTTTATTTAATTATTCCACATTGTATTCATGAATCATAACATCATTTTGCACCCCATAAATATATACAATTTTAAATTGCCAATTTACAATAAAAAATAAAACGTTTTAAAAAAGAGCCATTCCAGGCAAGATTGATAATATTAGTCCCATTTTAGAAATGGATAAATGAGGTAACACCCAGTGGCTAGATGGCATGCAAGAAGCCTGAAGCATATCATCAATATGTCTCCAGTGAGAATCAAAGAATATCTCTTCTAAGAAGCAGTTCCCAAACCCCAGGGCTTCCCTACATAATACCAAACAGAGCATGGTTGTACACATCTCTTTTAGCTTAGTTACTTACTTAATTACTTACTACTTAGTTTATTCTTAGGGTTTCTATTTCTTTCAATAGCATTTCCTCACTTTCCATTGCATCAGAATTCAGAATCTCCTATCAATCATACCATGAAATCACTAATCAGTGGTAGGCATTGGAAATGCAAAAATAAATAAGATATAGAACATGTCCTATATATCTTCCTATCATCTCCTCCTACCCTTTCCCTTGCTCACTCCCTCCAGCTTCACTGACTCTTTGCTATACCTGCAACAGATTAAAATCTTTGAACTTTTCATTTCCTCTGTTTGGAATGCAATCTCACTCTTCACCAGTATCTACATGGCTTACTTCTTGGTAAGGGAAGTATGCCATATCAAAATGTCACCTTACTAGTGAGGTCTTCCCCTACCTTCGTCTCTCAAGCAGCACATGCTCTCCCTCTTTCCTGCTTTATATTTCCCTATGACATCTGTCACCAACTGAATATAGATACATATGTTTAATATAGATATAGGTATAGATACAGTTATATCTATGTAGATATAGACACAGATACAGACATAGATGCTAAATCTACACACACACACACACACACACACACTCATTTGCAATCATTTTACATTGATTATAATATAGTCATGAGGGCAGAAATTCTTGTGTCTTTTGGTCACAGTCTCTGCATTTGCCCTCAAGAGAGCAGTCAATAAATATTTGTTGAATAAAGGAATAACTACATTTTCCTATCTGTCTGTTAAGCTAGACTGTGAGTGTCTCAAAAGGCAAAGAGCATTCTTTCCTGAAGACCTTACATCCCCACTGCTTTGCAGGGCACCTAAGACACTATTGGTGCTCAATTCAGATTGGGAGAGTAGAAATGGACAATCTGTCACATGGCTATGTATGGAGCTACAGTATCACCTTGAATTATTTCTTCATCCAAGCTCAAAATTACCCTTCCTCCTTCAACCTCCCACTGATTCTTCTTATTCTGAAGGCACTCATTCTCCTTACATGATTACTTTACCAAAACTAATCCAAAATGAATATGGTTGAATTCTCTGAAGACTGAGTTTGCTCCAGATCTTTCATATCTGCCAAGTATTTTGCACTTGATATCTGTTAATTACAAGTACAGAGGAATCATCTCATATATGTGAATACTAGCACATCATACTATCTTGAAATTTAATTTAAAACAACACAGTTTTTAGCTAGAAAAATATAAAAATACTTTCTAAGTATAAGGTTAGTTCCCCAAACAAGATTTCAGAAGTAATTACAGAATTGGATACATTCTGTATTTGAGTTAATGAACTTCCTTTCCAGGTTGTAAAATTATTAATATCTAGATCATACTTTCTGTATGTTCTATATGCTGCCTCACACATTCTGACTACTCAATAAATAACAGTAAAATTAAAGCCATGGTGATTCTAACATTAATAAGTCCAATAAAGTTGTGCTTGGCTCTTTCTCTTTCATAAGCAGGTGCCTGCCAAAAGGCTTGCATAACAAATGCAATACGACCTGAGTCATTGGTATTTGGTCCTTTTCCTTATAAGAAAAATATTTCAAAATGTTTACAGTCTGTAAACAGTCTTTTTTTTTTCTTAAGAACAGCAGAGCACCTTAAAATAACCTTTATTTTTTTTTAAAGTTAATATATGCAATATAAGAAACTGAAAAACATGAGAAGCAAAGAACAAAGTCATCCACAATCACAAGCATTTCACAGTTGGACATGTCCTTCTAGATCCTGACACATACACAACATCCAATTTTATGGGATTGAGATAGTACAGTATGCATCATGCTTTTTCACACATCATGAATATTTACCAATCGAAAATCTCAAAGCTATGTATTTGGATAACCAAGAATACACTACACCAACTCAATCTGTTAGGGAAAAAATGTAATCCTGCCTTTCTTGGGACGAAAATTTCATAGAAGACAAAAATGGCAACAGGCCTCTAGATAAAAGTACTGGCAGAGTTCTGATTAAAATACTTCATTCCCTTAATGCTCAATTTAAAATCAAACATAAAGCAATAGAAAACACTAAGTATAATGTTTGTAAGAGAATTCATTATCAGATCTATATCATTAAAGTATTAGCAAAAAGGTATGTTTCTATTGAATTACTGAATATGTTCTTATAGTATAGCCAAAAGGGATGCACACACATCAATGGCCATCATCAAAATGTAAATATGAACACATCTGCATACTTCTCTCATTTCATACTTCCTTCTGCTCCTCTGCTGCCAACCTAATGAACAAATCCTGATATACACTGCTCAGAGGTGGTTTAACAATTCCATGTCCAAGATGCATCTCTTCTATCAATTATTACCAAGATAATCACAAAATGGCTATTCACTAGTTCTTTTTATCATAAATTGTCACCTCAAGACATCTTCCAAAGCTTAGATGTTGAAAAATAAGGAACTTTGTCCACAATAAAGATACTTTACTAAAAATGCACATATAGACCAACGGTTATAATCTAAAGCCATCTTCTAGATATGGAGATACTAGCAAAGAGCCCTTCCCTTCACCCTTCCTCTTTCCCCACTCCAGCGACTAAGTACAGGACTAAGTCTAGCTCCAGGAGGTGGATTAACAAAGGTCACTCCCAGAAGACAGTCCTTCCTAAACACTAACAAAAGGACATATATAAAGGGATTATTTAATTAGCTCTATTTTTAACATATTTTGAGTATTAGGATTTGTTTATCCTTTAATACACAGCGATATTAACTAAAATGCACATGTAGAACAATGGTTAACTAATCTAGCTCACTGGCACAGAACCCTTCTCTGCATACTTTCTCCTCTCCTCCCCCCACTGCCCAGTGATGGCATACTCTCTAAGATATCAAGTTTAACAATTCCATTCCCCAAATGCAACCACTCCTATGAAATAACAAAAAACACTCAAAGGGTGTTACTTTAGCCCTCTACTTTTAACATATGTGGTACACTTTTAAACATCAAAAAGACTAGATGTTTCAGATAGGACTTAAGTTTTTTTCCCACCATACACAGTAGCATTGAATGCACACTCATAACAAAAGCTACAATCTCAAAATGTCCTCTAAGTAGGAACATTCTAGCCTAGAACTCTTCCCCTTCCTACCTTCTACCAATCCAGTGGACAGGTCTAAGCATCTGTAATGCTTAGAGGGGATTTTAACAATTTCACTTCAGTAAGTATTTTTAAGAAAACTCTTTTCTATGAATTTTAACTCAAAGTCTACTCAATGCATTAGTTTACTAAACTCTACTTTTGTCATACACTGGCAACCTCTTTATCTAGAAAGACTAGATGTTGTAAATTAGGACTCATTAGTCCTTTATATACACTATATACACAGCAAAGTAAAATGAAATGCACAGACATAAGGGACAATAGTCTCACCTCACCATAACCACATTGGTATAAAGCCCTTTGCACTTTCTTTTCTTTCCTCCCTGAACAGCACAAATATCCTATACTACTCAGACAAGTGTTTGATCAATTTCCAAAAGCCAGTATTTAGTGAATTTTAACAAAAGGTTATCTACAAAATGTGTTATTTACTACCTCTACTTTTAACATACTTTGTGCACTTCTAAACATCTAGAAAAACTAGATGTTTCAATTAAGGACTTAAGTTTGTCCTCTATATACACAGTAGTGTTGAATACACACATGTAACAATGGTTACAGCTGAAAGTGTCTTCTAAAAAAGAACATTCTGGTCTAGAATCCTTCATTTCTTCCAACTCTTCTTCACCAACAACCCAGTGGATATAGGCACATGTGTCACTCAGATGTGATGTTATCATTTCACTTCCAGAAGTCCTTTTCAGAAGATAGCCTTTCTATGAATTTTAACACAAAATGTACAAAATGCTATCTTACTAACTCTACTTTTGTCATACATTGGCAACCTCTTTAATATCTAGCTAGTAGATATTATAAAATTGGGACTCATTTGTCCGGTATATATACAATATATACAATACAGCAAAGTTAAATGAAAGGCACATAACGTACAGGGCAATGGATAAGCTGAGATTCTCTAGTGTACACAAGCAAAACACTCTTTGCAATTTCTTCCCTCCCACCTCCCTCAACCTAGTGAACAAGTAGAGCGTGTACTGTTCACAGAGGTGGATTAACAATTCCACTTCCAAACACAATATTTCCCATCAGTTTTTAAAAGCTATTTACAAAGTGTTATTTTACTAATTCTACTTTTAAATACATCAAGCACTTCTAAATATCTAGAAAGACTAGATATTTCATATAAGAACTTGTCCACTATGTACACAGCACTGTTAAATAAAACTGCACACACATAGCAATGGTTATAATCTGAAGTATCGTCTAAATATGACCATTTTGGTCTTGAACCATTCCATTTCCTTCTCTCTGCCTTATATCCAGTGGACAAGTACAGGCATGTGTAATGCTTAGAAATGGTCGAACAAATTCATATCCAAAAGTAATTTACAAAGGACAAGCTTTCCTATGAATTTCAACACAAAGTGTACAAAATGTGCTAATTTTACTAACTACTTTATCATACACTGGCAACCTCTTTAACATCTAGAGACTAGATATTGCAAAATTAGGACTCATTTATCCATTATATACATTATATATATCCATATATACACACAGCAAAACAAAATGCACAAAACATAAGAAAACTGATATCTGATAATGTCCTTTTGCCAATTCCTTCCCTCCCACCTCCTCCAAACCATTGAAGGAGTATAGATGGTACTATACTGCTCACAGAGATGGTTTAACAATTCTATTTTCAAAAGACAGTATTTCCTGTGAACTTTAGCAAAAAGATATTTACAAAGTGATATTTTACTACCTCTACATTTAACATACGTTGGGCACTTCTAAACATCTAGATAGACTAGATGTTTCGGGTAAGATTTTATTTGTCCACTATATACACAGCAGTTG